TCTCAAGTAAACCACATCCACATAAGTGGCTCTCTTGTCCATAAAAATGGAAGTGCCAACCAGGTGTGACATGTATGCTCTTAATATGTATGCTCTATGCTGCATAACCTGCTCATCATCACCAATGACTTATTCTTCCACATGAATTTGTTATGCATACAACCTCTCCAAGAATTGAAACCTAGCATGACACCCTCGGGTGGCTTCTACCTTATGCATATCATATCCTGGTTAAGCTCTTAGATAGTCTACTATCATTTCCACTACTTCATCTCTGTTAATCCTGCTATGGCCTAATAGTCTTCCCTTGATTGGAAGATGCAGCAGGCATGAGACATTGTCTAGTGTGATGGATATATCACCATGTGGAAGATGAAAAGATGATGTCTATAAGTTCCATCTCTCTACAAATGCAGATAACATGCCATGGTTAATTATAACATAATCGGTCCAACATAAGTATCACAACCTAGATATTTGCATTGCATCTCGAAACCACTTCTTAGTAGGCTGCCGCATACCTACAATTTTCTGCCATGGTTGATGCATTTTAAAGCATCATGGTCCTGTAGAAAAATAAATCATCATCAAAAACTTCGAATATTATAACAGATGTGTTTCAAATAATGAATATAATTGAATTTTACCTCTCCATCCCACACATGTCTGGTAACATGGTCCAGATATAGAGGCAGTACTGATAAGTCAGACGAGCCTCCTCCAAACCTCTAGAGTGTCGCCTTGGATGCCTCGGGTGCATCAGGTTCCTCAGCATGTACCGGTGGGGCTTCCAGGGCATCAGGAGGTGACACTTGCCTTCTACAGGAAGACTAAGGCGAAGATGCACGAGTCCCAGAAGTTGATGCCTCTTCACCAACCGAGCTAGTACCGATTAGTGCTTATGGTGGTCGAATTATTTCCCTCTGAACCGATGCATGCTACACATTAAACTTTTCCATAGGAACAACCCAAAAACCTTTCACAAAAGGACTAGAGCTTTTACACAGGCTCAACTCAATAACCTTTACCCAAGATTTTTTAAAGTTTATCTTGCAACCTTGTAATCTATTACAATAAGATCAAAATAGAACTACACTCTTGGAAAATAATTGCAATACAGTACTAGTAAAACACAAATCTTAGATGTAACTTTTCACTCTATTTTCACTAAGGCAACTCTATTGAAAAATAATTTTAGGAAAGAAAAAGAGTAAGAAAGATAGTAGAAAGTTTCTATTAAAAATGATGTATTTTGAAATGAGGAGAAATCTATTTTGTATAGAAGAAAATTATCTAAGAAAAGAAACAATCCATGATTCTTTTTAATGATTTAATTGATTAAAGAAATATGTGTTAATTGATTAACTAAGCCAAATTAGGAAAGTTTGAGTTTGAATGTCACTTAGTTGATTAAGAACTTCCTTAATAGATTAGGAAGCATTACCCTTTTATTTAATCAATTATAAGAACTCTCAATCACTTAACCATTGTATTTTGCTTTCCTAATTGATTGGAAATATTTCTAACTAATTAAGAACTTGACCAAATTGGTTTTAAGAATTTTTATCAAAAGAGAAGAAAAATTTGTAATACATTTTGTGTGTGGATTGTTTTAGTACCCTAAGACTTACACGTGTTCCATTTATAATTAGTTGATCAAACTAAAGCGTTAAATGCATGACCAGGTGAGCTTTCACATTATCTTATGTTCACAACTTTAAGACTTCAAGTTCTTTTTCTTGATTAGACATTTGTTTAGCACTTTAGTTGGAACTTGAAACATTTAACTGATGAGGCTTATGTTTTTACACAATAAATCCTACTATATCATCCTCTTCACTCAATAATCCCAAACTACCTTGTTTTCAAACAAATTTCATTTATGTCACAAAGCATCCGCCAAGTGAATGGGTAGAGCTGTTGAAAATATTTGACATCCGCAAAAACAATGGGCGGAAGTGTTGTAACGTGAAGAGGGTCCGCCCATCCAATGGGCGGAAGTATTATAACGTGAAGCTGAATATTTTATATTAAAAAAATGACATATTAACAGTTTTGTCTGTCTAATGGACAGAAGTTGTATAATTTAAAGAGCATCCGTCAGTCCAATGGGCAGAGCTTCCTACTTCAAATTTTTTTTGTTTGAAAATATGATATATTGGGAACATAAATTGAAATGTATGGTAGTATAAGAATTTATTGCTAAAAAAGTGGTATGTTGGCAAAAAAAAAAATTCTCATTTTCTTATTCAAATTCCATCATTAAAGATCTTTGGAAGAGTTGTTATCATCAACAATAAATCCTTTTAAGAATATTTGACATAATCAAAACCAAATCCCTTTTGACGATGTTACCTTCGTAACACATAGAATCACATAACCAAGAATGTTGCCAGTTTGAGTACGTACACCCAAGGCATAATATCAGCACCCATGCAAAGACCAAACCAATGTATGTACACCCACATCTAAGTACGTCAATAGTCCAATTATATGACTTATATACATACACGTAGGCTAGAGTACATACACCAGTGTAACGAATCATGAACGCGTACGTACGTCCATATTTGAGTATATAACCCCATGAAAAGACCATGCCAGCATACATACAACCAATTTCAAATATTTAAAGGCAAATTCTTTCTTCATCAAGGGTTGTGATTTTTAATTGCAAAAAAACACCATTGGAGGTGAAAACACAATAGAGGCTTGGCGAAGACACTATTCAACAAATTATTGGGTTGAAGCTTCCTTATGACTTCTACATGTGTAATCATTTTACCTTGTTAAATTTTAGTACTTAGAACCATGAATAGCTAAATTTATTAGTGTTAGGGATGAGATCCCGCATTTGAATAACATTGTAGTATGAATTTATGCAATTATTTTTCTATTATTCAAGTTTAGTCTTATTTATATTCACTACATAAAATAGAAGTTAACTTAAGGCTAAAGGTTTTTGCACTAAGGAATTACAACTATATAATATCGAAAATCAGTAGCCATACCATATAGTGAACTTAGTAGAAGGTTATTTTATAACACTAACACAATACAAAATCAACTTCATCCTAACATATTTTATCATCTTATTAGATTAAAAAACAATTTGTTTAGTTTATAGTGTAGACATTCAACCAACCTAGATAGACCCTTTAGTTCAACTATGGCATGCAATTAAATTTAATAATGTTAGTAGTCTTTGAATTTGACACTCAGTAGTGTTATCGTTTTCTAAACTTGCAACGATTTAGTACACTTGATAAAAATCAAAATAATCTCTCAATCCCTTTTTTGTCAAGTTCAAGTTCATGAAGGGTCACCATTCTTTGATAGGTGTACAAACACAAAAGAAAAAAAATAAGTTGAAGGTGAGAAAAATACACAAGAAGAGGGGGGATTGAATTGTTTAAAGTGGACTCTTTTTAGTTTCTTAAAACTAACTTCAGAAACTGAACAAGTTCAGAATCTCACTTCAGAGTTGCTAGCAACGGAAAATAATAAAGTACAAAAGCAAAAAATAAATTCACACACAGAGTTATCTTGGTTCCTCCTACAAACTGAGAGTAGTTCAGACCCCTTGTCCAACAAGAGATTTTCACTATAATCAATCAGATTACACATACTCAAACAAACTAGCAAGAGACTTCCACTGCTCAATCACACTTGAAAGAGACTTATTCTCAAACACACAGACAAGAGACTTCCACTGCTCAAACAACCAGGCAAGAGACTTCCTATACTCTTAAACAAATAGTTTAAGAGAAATAGATAACCACTATACTTGATGTAATATCAGAAGTATAAAAGAGATATAGTATATACACAAAGATTTTGCAAACACTTAAGATTTCTAAGGTAAACAAGAGTAAGAAATCTTAAGATCTTGTGCACAGTAAATAACTTTAGCTTCTATATGTTCAAAGTTTCTCTCGTTAGATAGTTAGTTGAATCTTATATAGAAGCAGAAAAAGAAACGTTGGAGGAAACTTGCAAACAGTAACATAGTTGGGAAGTACTTCCAAGAGAGACGTCGGAAGTTGATATGTTTAGATCTTCATCCTCTGTGTAAAGACTTTGTCAATTGTGTCTTTATTCATTCTTAATATCTACCATATTATTGAGACAAACTCAAGAGGCCAAGTCAAATTTCTTTGAGCCTTGCACTTCAGAAACTCTTGTTGATTTTCTCCCAAAATCTGGATTTGACAAGATGGTTCTGCTTTAGAGACAGAGTATGGACCAGAAGTTGAGTACCTTTATCCCAGGTCTTCAAAATTTGAGTTGTCACCAGATTCTGATCCATCAGAATCTGGGACTTTTAGCTTCTCTTCATAAGCTCTTTATCAGGGTCAGAACCAAATAGATTTTAAGATTATGATCATGCACACTTAAACAAATTTTAGTATACTCAATTGTTCTTTAAGTACTTTGTTATCATCAAAATCTAAGGGATATTAGAACAATTTTGTTCCTACAATCTCCCCCTTTTGATGATGACAAACAACACTATTTAAAAACAATGGTTGTTTAGTTTAACTAACTTGACAACATCAGAGTCTGAGGTTTGTAAGCTTTCCCTGAGTCTAATAGTTCAAAGTTTGAGTTTTGTAAGCTCCCCATAAGTCCTATCCAATTTATTTAAACTTATTTTGATAGCACAAAATAATTAATCTTCATATTTAAACACATCAACATAAGTTCCTATTATGGGTTTAGGTGCATACAAAAACATTCAAGAATGCTTTTATCCTCTTCAAATACTCTCATTTTCTCCCCCCTTTTGTCATAAATAAATATAATAAAAATAGAATAGAGAGAGGGAAAAAATACTGAAGATAAAAATATATTTTAAGAGTAAAATTAGTTTAGAGTTAAAAACAGCAAGTAAACTAAGAAACATGTTGACGGATAAGCATGCAAACCACAATTTGTAAGATGGTCAAAGTGAGATTCTAACAACATAGCATAAGGGCAAGACCCAAGGAGCATAGTCTTCAAGGCTGATTGATCTTTATCCAAAAACTCCTATATAAAAGCAGTGTATAACCAACCAGATCACATTTCTCTTTCAGGTCTTTACTTTCCAGCAAGATGGGCAAGCAAAAACCCTTCAATGCTGAGAAGAAAGATCTTGAGAAAGAGATACGCCAGCTGATGAAGAAACAAACAAAGGAGGAAAACAAAATACTGAGGAAGCTGCAAGAGCTCAAAAAATCCTCAACGGCCGAAGAAGCATGCACCTCTGCTGGAGTCTCTACACACAGAAGAACCTCATAGATAACAATGAGAAAGCTAAAAAATAAGAAGTATTCATAAATGATGAAGTTGATGAAGACTGGGTGGCTTATGTAGATAAATTGATGAACAAAACTAAAAGTTCCAATCATCTTTGAAACAAATATGTAATACCCTTAAGATTCAGATCATGTACTTCCAATTTAATGAATAACAGTCTTTCCATTTCCATGCTTCTCTTGTCACTTACTCACTTTGATAAATCCATCAAGTTTATAGAAATGCTTAACAACCAACTAATTTAGTCAAAATAAAAAGAAATAAACAATAAAATAAAAGATAAGAAACATAAGAGATAAGAAGAAACAAAATATCTTTCATTGAAGGAGAAATAAAGTTCATAACAACAAAAAATACAAGAGAGAATAATATAAGTTTAAACAGAAGAGGAAGAGGATGATTCATCCAAAGAGACCACCTTGAACTTAAAAAGGTCATTATCAGAGGCTTTCAGGGCTTCTGGTAGCTTCAACTTATCACCCCAGGTTTGTAAAGTAACCTCAACCATAATTTTATCTACTCCTTGTTGAATGAAGAGTTATGAAAGAATCCTTCTAAAAGGAATGAAAGATGAATTTCCTTATTGTAAGGATAAGAGAGTCATCTTCACATATTCAAACATAACATGAGGAAGGTTGATCTTCAAATCTGAGTTGAGAAGAAGCAGAAAAACCCTTTCATCAATATCTAAAGAGTCTAGATTCTTGTTATTTGGAAGAAAGTTTGAGGCCAGAATTAATACCAAACTAGGGCCAAGGAGTTAAGACTATAGGATTTAGACAAGTCATACAAATCATCAAAAATAAGGTTAAAAGGAAAATAGTATTCCCAAAATATCATATCTAGGGTAACACCTTCATCCTCACAATATATTTCATTAGAAATAGTAGTTGAGGTGATGGTAATATGGACACCATATACTTAAGAAATGATGGAATTCTCCAGATTTAGTTCTTGAACATATGCATTTACTCAAAATTCTTTGACCATATTAGGGTAAGTATGACCATAAAGCATATCAAAGAACCCATCTCAACCTTTTTGAAAAACAACACTTTGAAGATCAAAGCCTTGAGCCATGATTTGTTCAAAGTCCACAAGACCTTCAATGATGACTACAATCTGGTTATTCACACCAAGATCAGTTCTGGAAGCCATCTCAGGTAGGTAGGTTCACAAATAGAGATTTTGAAAAGAGGGGAGTAAATCAAATTTTCATTTTAAAACAAAATGTTCCCAAAGATATAGCCAAGTGAATTGTTAAAAAGGTACGAGACGATTGTCTTTGCTTTAAGACCACTCAAGGACATAAATTTCAGATGAGATGACAGAAAGAAAATATAGGAGATCAAAGAGGCGTCACATTATTACCCACCAGGCTCTACTCAAACAGATATTACACATGCAAGATAATAATTATACGCATGGAAAAATTAAGTGGGACAAGTGTCATAAGAAGACAAACGTTTTCCAGTTAAATTCTATTAAAAATAAATTATCCACTTTTGAGTCTCAGAGTCTGAAGTCTTTCAGAAGCCACTTTTCAACAGAGGTAGTTTCCCACACTCTGACTGAAGTTCCTCTTGATCAACCTAAGATTGTGATACTGAATTCATAATTAAGCACTATTCCTTAATAAAGACCATGTTCAAATTCTTTTTAATATAATCAAATATTTCAATAGCTAAGGGTTTGGTAAATATGTCATCCCATTGATGATCAGTATCAATGAATTTAATATCTATTATTACACCCTTCTGAACATAATCTCTAATAAAGTGATGTTTAATTTCAACGTGCTTGGTTCTAGAATATTAAATTGAATTCTTTGTTAAGATATGGAAACAATGTTATCACAAAAAATAGGTATACTGCTTCCACAAATTTGATAATCCTCTAGCTGATATTTCATCCAGAGTAATTGTGTACAACATTTAGCAGCTGAGATATATTCTACTTCTATTGTAGACAGAGCAATAATGGCTTGTCTTTCACCAATAAATTGACAGTTTCCACTAGTAGATTTTCTCTCAATTTTATCCCTAGAATAGTTAGCATCACATAATCCAACTAGCTTATAATCTAGGGATTTTTTTATAAAGAAGTCCCAGATATGTTATTCCTTTTAGATGCCTAAAGATTTTCTTAAAAGAAGTTAAGTGAGTCTATCTAGGATCTGATTGAAATCTTGCACACAAGCAAAAATTGTACAAAATATCAGGAATAGAAGCTGTGAGGTAAATCAAGGAACCAATCATACATCTATATAGATTCTGATCCACTTTGGTGCCACTTTCCTTCTTGTTCAAATTGCAAGTTTATGAGTTGCCATAATCTTACATTCTTCAATATTAAACTTCTTCAAAAGCTCTTTTGTATATTTTGATTGATGAACATAGATTCCATCTTTGACTTGATTGGTTTGAATTCCAAGGAAGAACTTCAGTTCTCCCATCATGCTCATCTCAAATTTAGCTTATTGAGTCTCAGAAAATTGCTTGCAAAGAGAGGCATTAGTAGAACAAAAAATTATGTCATCAACATAAACTTGGACAATTAAGATATTTAGAGTCTTTCTGAATAAGGTAGTGTCAACCTGACCTTTTTGAAAACCATTTTCTAATAGAAAATTACTCTGAAATTCTGGTAGTTAGATCTTAGATGTCCTAAGAAATATCAAGACACTGGTCTCTGAACAACAAGACAATGAACAATATAACACAATAAAATAGTGCAGAAAAGTAAAGAACACGCAAAATTGTTAACCTAATTCGGTGTACAACAACACCTACTCTGCGGGCTACCAAGTCAGGGACGAAGTCAACTAGATAGTATCAATTTGTAGACCCACAACAAACTTTCACCTAGTTTACAATCTACTCACTTAATCAATATTTGTGCTTAACTTCTACCTAAGACTCACCTAGGTATGAGACTCTTCTCAAATCCCTTTCAGTCACAAACAGTGACAAGAACATAATTCAAAAGAATACGAAGATAACCTTCAAAAACACACATCCATTCACTACTTAAAATCTTAAGAATGATTGACAGAACTTACAACTCAAAAAACAGTCGTACTCTTTTATCAAGATTATATTATATAGGATCACAATTAACACACACAAACCCTAACAAAAACACATGTAAGTTCCACTCAAAACTAGGTTTGTGACAGTTTATTTAAAGCAATCTTCTAGACTGGATTGGGCTTCAAAAACGCAACAAATCAGCTGCTAAAAACCTGCATAATCTTCTGCATAAAAATAGGACTTCAATCATTAGTTTCCTAAATTATCTCAATAATTCAAAACTAAGAATCCTCCTTGAAGTAAGCTTGAATATCTTAATCCTTAAATTGAGCGCCACATAGGATAACATAATATTCCCAAAACATCCTGCATCTGAAATAAACTAAAACATCCAAATGTCCAACTGTACACAGGCGCAATGTCGAATGATCCTGCATAGGACATCTTGTTTAACATATTTTTTCAGTTGATAGAACATCTTAATTCAACATATTTCTGCTAAGTTAGTTTTACCAAACTTAATGTCAATCACAAAAATAGAGAATTAACAATCTCCCTCCTTTGGCCTATTTTGGCTAAAACAACTTAATATTTCTTCCACACATAAACATCAACAACGACTCAGGTTTGAAAATAAATCAAACACTAATATCAGAGGCACAACAGAAAAAATTATCATAGTACAGTGAAAGCTACTCATGTCAGGACACCATGTTTGAAAACTCTTCACAACATTCCAGTCGAGAACAAGCACTCCCCCTCAAAACCTGCCAAGTACCACTTCAGAGAATAAAAAATTCTCCCTCTAAATACCAGCAATCATCTATCAAATGTTGGTTAGATCACATACAAATTACTCCCCCTTTTTAGCCATAATATGACAAAGGTGAGTAACAAACCAACATCAACCATAGTAGCACATTAGTACAAAAGCTAAACAAATCATGGGCATTTAACCCTTACAAAATCATAAAGCAATAAAATAAGTACACAAAGAAAAACCAAAAAGGTTTACAAAAATAGTAACCATGCATCATCAACAATCTCATTCTCTTCTCCTTCTCTGTTATCATTAGCACCAGCAGATGAAATAATTTCACCAACAACACTAGCATCATTACTTTTGTCAACAGGATCTTCACCTGGGAAGATGTCACAGCAAATTCTGGAACATGTGTTCCACCAAACACATTATAGTGCAAAGCTAAAGGATGTAGGTGGTATGATTGAAGAGTTTTATTGGACCACAACAATAGCAGTAATTTCTATAAGTCTTCATAGATACAGATTCTAAGCCTTCTTCTCAAGTTTTCAAACTGAACTGCATCTAGAAGTTTAGTAAAAATATCAGCAAGCTGATTTTCAGTGCTAACATGCTCAAGAGTTATAAATTTGTCTTCAACAAGTTTTCTAATGAAATTATGCCTGATATCAATGTGCTTAGTCCTGCTATGCTGAATATGATTTTTGGAAATATTAATAGCACTCAAGTTGTCACAGAATAATGTCATGGCATATTTGAAGGTGTGAGAAACACAAGAAATGGGGGTTTGAATTGGGTTTCACCAAATTAAATCTTTTCGTTGGTGACATAAAAAGTTAGCTTAGAACATAACAGTAAATAAACACAATGATTTTTATCCTAATTCGTTGTTAACTAAGCTACTCCAGTCCACCCCATCAAGGACTATTTCGCCTTAAACAAGGACCTAATCCACTATAACCAAACTGATTACAAAATAACCCACAATAAGTATGGTCAACCTTATTGGCACCCTCAATAAGTCTGACGATCCTTATTGTAAATCTACTCAAGCCGAGACAGGAGTCTTCTTGAGATCAGACCTTCACTCAGTCTCTCAAGGTATCATTCAAAAACAATTGACTACCTTCAGTGTATTACATATTTACTTCTTGTAAGCAGATTACACAGACTTTTCAGTACAATGAAAAACACCTAAGTGTTCTACTACAAAATACGAGCAATAACCCCTTTCTTATTTACAAAACTATACACAGATGATTTCTCTATAGAGTTTGCACAATTCTTTTGTGTAGTTTTGTTGAGCTTTATTTAATTCAATAGATTTCTCGTTGTAGTGTTGATTCTTACTTTTCTTAAGCTTCCAAGTCTTCCTTTTATAGCTTCTAAAAGCGATCCATTGAAAGGGTAGAAAGGTAAATAAAAAATATAGTTGTTGGTTCTCAACGGTTATAATTAGAGTAGTCATATTGAAGTACAAAAGGACTATCCTTGCACCACTCTAGAAGAGTAGAGGTCACATACACTTTATGTACCTTTTTTACACTATCGCACGTTAACCATTTTGAACTTTTCTTCTTATCTTCAGAGGCTTCGAATATTTGAATGTTAAAAGTTGAAGCTTGTTGTAGAAAAATATTTCTTTAAGTCTTTAGAACCTAAGTCTTGGAGTATTTAGAACTTGTTACATAGAACATTGTCTTCAGAGTCTTCAACACTTGGTTGTAAGAACTTGATTTTCTTCAGATCATCAGAACTTGTTCAGCAGAACCTCGTCTTCATAACCTTCAGAACTTGTAACACATAGAAGCAAAGCTTTAGAATGCCTCAAAAGCTTAACCATAAATTCACAATTAGAACCTCTTGTACTAACGTTCCTTAGACACGTTGCAGAAGATAGATTTAGAACCTTGACTTCAACTGTAACACGTAACCACATGCTTTCTTCCAGTAGTGTATGTTCAGAACCTGATGATGTCACATGCCTTGTACCAGAGTCAGAGCATTATAACAGCAACTACACACTAGAACGAAACCATTAGTGTATACAATTGTTCTCTAAGATAACATGTAAAGGTATCATCAAAATCTCAAGGCCAGATGTAGAAACACTTCTTGTTCTTGTAACCTTACCCTTTTTTATGATAACAAAACCATGTATTTTGATAGAAAAAATTATACAGGGTAATCACCATAACTGACAAATTCAGAGTTAAGCTCACAACCCCCCATGAATCTGTTTAACCCAAAATTTCATTTAAGCTTGTTCAGAGTCTCCCCCTGAGCCCAAGACTCACAAAATAAATTTTGAGCATTCAGAACATATAATAGAGAAGTAGTACTTTCCTACAGTAACTCATCAG